GATAATTTTTGGTAAGAAGATTTAGGACATAATGAGAACCCGACATATCAATTTACAGCCAATTCGATTAGAAAAAGTAACCAAATTCCGAAAATTTAAAGATACCATCCAAAGGGTGCTACATCTAAAGTTGGATCAATATTGATAATTTTTTGTAAGATGATTTAGGACCTAATAAGAACCCAAAATATCAATTTACAGCCAATTCGGTTGGAAAAAATTACGAAAATCCTTAAAATCCCGGGATACCATCCAAAGAGAGCTACACCTAAAGGTGGACCAATATTTATAATTTTTGGTCTGAAGATTTGGTCTGAGTACATGGAATATCAAATTACAGTCAATTTGGTTAAAAGAATGACCGAAAATTGAAGGGTATCATCCAAAAAGGAACTACACCTAAAGGTGGACCAATATTGATAACTTTTGACCACACAAAAAATCATTGATTTTGCATATTTTCATTATTAGCAATACAATGAAATTAAAAATTATTTTGTACAATCAATTTTGATAATTTGAGAGATTTTCCCACGGTGCAGGTTACCATAGTGTTCCAAGACATATTTTTTCTTGTTCTATAGCTAATTATCTTTCGTTTGCAACATTTTTTGAGGTGTGGTGAATTTCTGAAAATACTCACCACACGTGAAAAATCACTGATTTTGCATACGTTCATTATTTGCAGTACAATGAAATTAAAAATTATGTTATAAAATCAATATTAAAATAATTTAAGGGATTTTCTGTGGCTATGGGTCACTTAGGAGTTCCAAGAGATATTTTTTATTGTTCTATAGTGTTTCATCTTTCATTTGCAAAATTTTTTGAGGTGTGGTGAATTTCGGAAAAAACTCACCACACCTAAAAAATCACTGATTTTGCATATTTTTTCCGGAACTATCCACTAATAAAAAATATTTTCTGTTGGTCTATTAAAAATCGGAGCTCAAAAACGCATCTTTTCGATTTTTTTTTTTAATCGCACGTCCTAAAAAAATATTTTTTCAAAAATCCCCTATTCAAATTTTTAGAAATATTTTCAAAATTTTATATTGAGTTTTCCATCTGCGTGACTTAAATATTGTTTGTATTTTTTTCTTTTTTTATGAACCACCCTAGTTTTGTTTTCCTTGTTTGCAGAACACCATACACACAAGAAAATTATAGAGAAAGAATAAATGAAAAATGTAAATAAAAAATAAATGAAAATAAATAAAGGGTAAATGAAAAAAAGTTACTAGGCATTTCAAAAAAAAAAATAATTATAGAGTATTGAAAAAAAATTGGCACAAAATTAAAATAAAAATATAAGAAAACAACGAAATAAACAAAACAACATGCAGCAGCATGTTTTGAGCAAAAAATATTTGGCCAAACAACAAGGTAACCAACCAAACAGCAGGCAGGCTGGCTGTCGGATCAACGTTTGCAGCAAAATTTTCATAGAATCCCACAGACAGGGTCGCAACGATTGACAAATAAAATTATTGCAATTTTTATAACAATTTATTTTTTCACACAATTTGCAAAAAAAAATATGCACGAGACTTACAAAACTTCATGGGTTTGCGAAATTGTCCTTTCATTTACACTGTTTTTTACACTCTTGAACGAAAATATCACTTACTCACCAATAAATAGTTAAACAACAAAAACAACACAAACGTCTTATGACATATCGTCGTTGTCCAAACAGTTGATGGTGGAGAAAAAAAAAACAAAACAAGAACAACACACGAAACCAGATATTCAGCTAGCCACACAGAGCAGTAATAATATAATAAAAAAGACAATATACAACACCTTGTCAATAACAACAATTCAAATAATATACAGCAACTAAACAAAAAAATACACAGCACAAACAACACAAACGAGCCATCCAACCATCAGGCACACACACACACACTCGTATACACTGCTCGCAATAATACCCAGTGTATAAGTTTTTTTGTTTCGCTTTGCTTTACTTTTTTCCAACGTTACGGGGTTTTGCATAGATTTATTTCTTTTCTTTTCGTTTTTTCTTCTTCTACTACTACATCATTGCTGGTGCTGCTTCTTCTTACATTTTCATATTTTTCACAAACACACACAAATTTTCACAAAATTCTTTTTTTTCTGCTTCCGAATTTAATTATTTTCGTTTATTCACATGAAGTACGCCGTCGTCTTCATGCTAAATTTTGCTTCACTTTGGTTTTTTGTATAATCCGACCCGATTTTGTTTCTATATATTTTTTTTTCTGTTTGTCTTCTTTTTGTAAGCTATATAACTTTTTTTTCGATTCGATTGTTTCGTGTATGATTTTTCTTGCTGTGAACTGACGACTGATTGCACTCACTCCATATGATTTGACAAGTGACAATTGAAGATTGGCAAAGGGAAAGAAAACAAGGGCGCTATAAGTCGACTTTTGGCAAGCATTGCCAAATAAAACAAATGGAAAGGTAATGTTAATGAGTTAACGTACGTTTAGACGGAGTAGATGAGAGGGAGAAATCTAAGAATAAAACTTAACCCTAATATTGACGTATATACTTCGAATATAGAGGGGAGAAAAATAGTGATTTGAGAAGTGACAACAAATGATTGGAAAAATAAAAAAAACGAGGGTGCTATAAATCGACTTTTGGCATAACGTACGTTTAGACAGGGTATTGTCAAATAAAAAGGTAATGTAATTTTAATGGGATAGCGTACTTTTAAACAGGGCAGATGAGGGAGAAAAGGTAAATAATAAAATTAAACCATAATATTAAAGGATATTGCCTGTGAAAATAGAAGAGAGATAAATAATAATTTGACAAGTGACAACTAATGATTGGCAAAATAAAAAACAAGGGTGCTACAAGTCGACATTTGCCTAATATAAAGGAAAAAAGCAATGTTAACCGGTTAACGTACTTTTAAACTGAAGGTGCGGGAACCCAGGCTGAAAGGACTCGTCTGGTTGGGATCTCAGATAAGGAGACCGCAGCAAGGTTGGCTCCTTCCCAGGGTTCACCAAAGCCGCCAACAGTTTTCACGAGGCAATCTTTTGATTTCCTGTTTAAGCAGTTGATGACTTTGGCGCCCTTCTGCATGAAGGCACTGCCAAACTGACGATCCCCCTGGTCCGACCCACAGACGATAGCCGACCAAAGGGCTCATTCAAAGAGAAACCAATGACCATCACTAATCCTGTCATGAGGATCAGATTTGTCAATGATTGCCACCTGAAGGTTTTCGTTGCTGGGGTCTCGACAGATTCCAAGTCGCAGATTGTCTTTGAAGTTTATTGTCGGCAATTGCCGCCACAGGACCTGTTGAAGTCAGGCTTGAAATCGGTGGGTCAACAGGGTCTGTGCTTCCATCGAAGTCTGCCCAACTGGTTGAAGATTTCCTTACTTTGCTCCTCTAAACTATCGCGGATAGCATTAAGAGTCCCGTGCAGGTCGTCCCCTCCCACAACTACTGACCTGTCACCATTTTTCCTAGCATTTTTTTCTGAGTTATCGGATTTATGCTACACACAATAGGAATATTCGATTAGTGGAATATCAACCTAGTTATCCCTAAAATGAATAGTCCCTTTAGTACAATTGTCCCCTTAGTTCAATCATTCATTTTAGTTCAATCATTACTAACTCCAGTACAATGTAAATGTAATATAAAACTTGCAAATTCTTTTCATAAATATAAAGGATTTTATTTCACATATATGCTATAAAATTGACATATAAAATGGAGTATATTTTGTCAATGTAAACGCACTTTAAACGGACAATCACATAAAACATATACAATCGCACACACACCCATAACTTCAAAACACAACCAAGCCAGTTCACTACACCAAAGCCGTTCGACAAACGGAATCAGCTGTCAATCATGCCATTAGTTCATTACAGTGAATCATCCCAATTTGAACGGAGTTCGTTCAGGGAAAGACACAACTCTCGATAGTAGTTTTTTTCTTATTGTTTGCCATTAAATCAATAAACAATCTATAAAAATCGGGGTAAATATTTATTAAATTTGCAAAGATACCAACCACGGCGAAAAATTCTTTACAGACAATTGAAAAACACTCGCAAAAGAACAAGAAGAAAAACACATTGAAATTGTAATTATAAAAAGAAGAAAAGAAAAAACGTACTCATGATATTCTCAAGCATTTGTTGTTGTTGCTGTTGTTAGTGATTCTAGTGAGAAAGAATGCACACAAGTGAGAAGTAAAAAAATAAAAGAAATACGTCGTCCGTCGTACGTACGTACGGCTTTGCATCAAACAATTGTCATTCTCAGCTGGAAGAAGAAATAGGAAATTTTTGTAGGGCAGGCAGCAGCAAAGAAAACTATTAAAACCCTTCAAGAAAATAAAGGAAATTATTTTGTGTTTTATTATAAATTGGAAATTAAATAGAAAAAATGGTTCGTGTTTTCCTTTTGCAACAACAAAGCCAATCACATTAAAGTAAACGTAGAGCAGCCAAATCAAAGCCGGTCTGCAAAAAAGCAAAAACCAAGTAGTGTTCGCCGTGCATGCCCCAACAAGAAATTCAATGTGAAGTTTGCATATATTGGGAGAAAAAGAATCAGCTGAAATTATTGCAATAACAACAAATACTCGAAATAATACTAATTTTATTGGATAACTTAAAATTCAATTGTAATTGAGATATATAATTTATTCCATCAAGTAGTACCTCCTACCCATTTTTTGGCCAACACCTAAAAGTATACTTCAATTAAAAAAATATTTTTCATAATATTCTTTATTTTTGTATTTTTCAGGGGTTTGTTTAATCACGCTTTTTTGTGGTAATCCTTTCGTTTTTTGCGAACTGGTGAACTGTGTGTGCGTGTGTGTGTTTTGCCGAGATTTGGTGTGCATGTGCGTTTGTGAGTGGGTTTTGTGGAGTTGAATAATTCAGCCCTGAACCACACACAGAAAAATCATATTCACATCGTTTAGCACAAAAAAAGAAAACCCCGAAATAAATCCAGAAACAAATATGCCCCGCGGTAAACGTCGTGCCAATCATGATATGGGCGATGATGATCGCCAAACATCAAAAAGACAACGCAACACATATGCAACAGCGACAGCAACGGCACAAAACACAAGTAGCAGGTAAGTATTTTTCCGAGGGGACAAAAAATTTTTGAAAATAAAAAATTATCATCTTGGCCCTTAATGTACTCTAGCTAAAGTAAAAAGCTCTAAAATCTGTTTAATGGTTAATTTCATTTGAAAGCCAAAATTACCTCAGGTCATCGCGCTACGAGAATGGTGTCAAGAGAAATTTAATTCTACACCGAATTTCACCACAGGTCACCGACCAGAAAAAAACTTGTAGATATAAAATTTATAGTCAAAAAATATCGATTTAAATTTGATAAAATTTAATCAAATGTAATATTTTTAGGTTCGTACCCAAAATGACCTGAAGACCTAATGCTGCGGGATTGCTGTCAACAAGAAAAATATTCTACACCAAATTTCAGCACAGGTCACCGACCAGAAGAAATTTGTAGGCCCAACATTTATAGCCGCAAAAATCGAATTTATATTGGAAAATGAAGCTCTCCATACTGACCTAAGAATTTTGGTCGATTTTCATATTTTTGGATTAATATTTTATTAAGTAACTGCATTTGATAGGAATTTTATGTGGACCTTCAAGTACCTTAAACGCCATTTATAGACCTGAGAGCGTTAAACAAATCAAAATATAGCCATTTTAAAGGTTAAAGCAGAAATCACCTAAGAACATCACGTTACGAATTTGGTGTTAAACGAAATAATGTTCTACATCAAATTTCACCACAGGTCATCGACCACAAGAAATCTGTAGATATAAATTCAAAGGCCATAAAATATCGATTTAAATTTGAAAATATTTAATGTAATGAAAATTTTCAGGTTCGAAACCAAAATTCACCTCAAGACATCATGGCATGGGCTTGGTGTCAATGGAAACTTTATTCTACATTAAATTTCACCACAGGCCATCGACCACATAAAATCCGTCGGTGTACACTATATAGCCATAAATGTCACATTTTAAGGTTAGGTTTGACATTTTTCGTTTTGGGGCCTAAATGACCGCATAACATCACGCTACGAGGTTGCTGTCAATGGAAAAAATATTCTGTACAAAAATCTACAACAAAATTTTACTATAATTAACCGGTCACAAGAGATTTCTAGGTTAAAATATATTGTGAAAAAAATCCACCTTTTTAAGGTTATGTTTTACAATTTTAGATTTGGTGGCTAAATGGCCACAGATCACCATGGTATCAATGGGAAAAATATTCTACATGTAATTTCACTTCAAGTCTCTGAACAGAAGAAGTCTGTAGATGTAATATATTTTGATAGAAATGCCTCATTTTAAGGTTATGTTTTACAATATTCGATTTGGTGCCCAAATGACCTCCAAACATCATTCTACGAGTTTGTTGTCACTAGACAAATTATTCTACATTAAATTTCACTATATATCACCGGCAACAAGAAATGTATAGATTCAAAATATATAGTCATAAATAGCCCATTTTGAGGTTAGGTTTTATATTTTTCGATTTGGTACCCAAATGACCTGAAATCATGATGCTACGAGGTTGCTGTCAATTGAAAACTTATTCTTCATTAAATTTCACTATAAGTCGTCGACCATAAGAAATCTGTAGATATAAAATATATAGTCATAAATAGCCCATTTTGAGGTTAGGTTTTACATTTTTTGATTTGGAGCCCAAATGACCTCAAATCGTCATGTTACGTGGTTGACGTCAATGGAAAACTTATTCTACATTAAATTTCACTATATGTCACCGGCAACAAAAAATCTGTAGATATAAAATATATAGTCATAAATAGCCCATTTTGAGGTTAGGTTTTAAATTTTTTGATTTAGAGGCCAAATGACCTCAAATCGTTATCTACGAGGTTGATGTCAATGGAAAACCTATTCTACATTAAATTTCACTATAAGTCAACGGCCACAAGAAATCTGTAGATATAAAATATATAGTCATAAATAGCCCATTTTGAGGTTAGGTTTTACATTTTTTTTCGATTTGATGCTCAAATGACCTCAAATCGTGATACTACGAAGTAGGTGTCAATGGAAATCCAATTCTACATTAAATTTCACTATAAGTCGCCGACCACAAGAAATCTGTAGATATAAAATAGATGGCCATAAAAATCAATTTTAAATTTGATATAGGACATATATTTTTTGCTAATATTTGTCTATCACACATGGCTCTGATGATGACGATGTCGATGATGCTGCTGCTATTGTTGACTCAATATAAACAAATGTCTTTCCCCAGTCAAAATGGCAGCATCAGTCTATGAGGAAAGAGAATTTCTTTTGACCATGATATTCAAAACAGGCAACAGCAGACACCTTTTGTTTTTATTCTCATTAATTGGCAGTTGTTGTTTAGATAATTTAGTTGAGCGTGAGCGGAGACAGACAACAGACAGTGTTTATTTTATTATTATAAAATAGCAAGGAAACTATTTTTAGAACATAAACACAACATAACAAAACAAAAGAAAACAATAGAAAAGAAAATTAAGCATCAAGAAAATAAAATATAAATTTACAAGGAATTCTAATAAAATTAATAAATTGTTTTTCAAATCCTCCTCATAAAATTTTTTGTTAATGGATACGTAAATAACATTTTCGAAAATGCATATTTGCAAATTTCTTAACTCATTTTATTTTCTGTTTTCTTTTTTTTTCAGACGTCACATACGAGCCGAGGACACCTTTAGCCATAAAAGATGTTTAGCATGGTTTAGAGAATACACAAATCCTGACGAGGATACATTGGGTTAGTTGTTGTTTGCCTCCTTTTATTTTTTTATAATTTAATTAATTAAAATTAATTTTTTAAGGTCCCGATGGCATGGAAAAATTTTGTGAAGATATTGGCGTCGAACCAGAAAATGTTGTTATGCTAGTATTGGCGTATAAAATGGGTGCCACACAAATGGGCTTTTTCAGCCAATACGAATGGCTTAAGGGTCTAACCGAATTGGAGTGTGATTCTGCTGTTAAAATGCAATCAAAATTGGATTATCTAAAGAGTATATTGAATGATCCAAATGTATTCAAAAGTATATATCGTTATTCGTATGATTTTGCAAAGGTAAGTATGAAAAATATTTAGAATTAATTTTAAAAATTATTTTTAAGAGGGCAACAGGTGTGGAACACTCATATACAAGTTGGAAAACAAAGAAGAAATATAGAATTTGAGGTTAATTTCATAAGTTTTTCTGTTGCTGGGCCATTTTACCCCGAGTCAATCATGATAGACGCATGGCGCCAATGGAAAAAAATATTCTACATGAAATTTTAACAGATGTCAGCGACCACAAGAAATCTGTAGATGTGATATATATGGCCATAAAAATCGATTTTAAATTAGTTAAATATAAAAAAATGTTAAATACATAGATTTTTCTGTTGCCTGCAATTTTACCCCAAGTCAATCATGTTAGGCGCATGGTGTCAATGGAAAAAATATTCTAAATGAAATTTCAACATATGTCAACGAACACAAGAAATCTGTAGTTGTGATATATATAGCCATAAAAATCGATTTTAAATTGGTTAAATAGAAAAAAAACGGAATGAAAAATACTTTTTAAGGCCAAATATATAGATATTTCTGTTGGTGACCATATTACGCAGAACCAATCATGTTAGGTAGTCGGTGTCAATGGAAAAAAAATTCTACATCCAATTTCACCACAGGTCACCGACCACAAGAAATCTGTAGATGTGATATATATAGCCATAAAAATCAATTTTAAATTTGTTATATCGAAAAAATGAAACGAATAGAATTTCAAGGTTAATTTCAAAGGGGTTTCTGTTGATGGCCATTTCACCCACAGTCAATCATGTTAGGTGCATGGTGTCAATGAAAAAATATTCTACATCAAATTTCACCACAAATCACCGACTAGTAGAAATCTGTAAAAATCCATTTTAAATTTGTTATATAGAAAAATGAAATTCTGGATTTTTGTCTAAGATTTTTGGCGATTTACACATTTTTTCGAATTAATTGTACTAATTAATTATAGTTAGAATGCATTATGGACAAATTTTGTGGAATATATTAGACGTCAGATGACTCTTGGTAAAGGGCCTTGTTGATCCATTTTTCCAAAATCGTGTTATATTTCCCTTAAAACGGACTCCTATCAATGTTCTACAAAAAGATTCGTCATAAAATAGTACTATATGTCTTCAAATACATCACATCTCAAACATAAACCTAGAAAGAGATACAGTTCAAAATTTGTCTCATTTTAAGGTTATGTTTAAGAATTTTCGATTTGGTGACCAAATGACTTCAGATCATCATGCTATGAGAATGATCTCAATGGGAAAAATGTTCTACATCAAATTTCACTATAGGTCACTGAACAAAAGAAGTATGTAGATATAAATTTAAAACCCTAAATTTCCCATATTAAGGTTATGTTTTTCGAATTTTCGATTTAGTGACCAAATGACCTCAGAACACCATGTTACGAGGTTAGTATCAATGGAAAAAATATTTTACATTTAATTTCACTATAGGTCACTGAACAGAAGAAGTCTGTAGCTATAATATAAATAGACAAAAATTAGGCATTTTAGGTTAGGTTTTTCGAATTTTCGATTTGGTGCCTAAATGACCTCAGAACATCATTCTACGAGAATGCTATCAATGGAAAAATTATTCTACATAAAATTTCACTATGAGTCACCAAACAAAAGAAGTCTGAATATATAAAATATTTAGCCAGAAATACCACATTTTGAGGATAGGTTTTCTGAACTTTCAATTTGGTGCCCAAATGACCTCAGAACATAATTCTACGAGGTCGATGGAAACTATATTCTACATTAGATTTCACAAAGTCCCCGAATACAAGAAATCGGTAGAAATACTTTTTGGCAAGAAAAAAAAAATCAATTTTAAATTTTTCTTTAATTATTTTTCCTTTTTTATCTTTTTCCCGCCTACAGGATTCAGATCAGCGCAGCATGGATATTAATACAGCCAAGGCAATGCTACAATTGCTGTTAGGCAAACATTGGCCACTGTATCCACAATTTGCACAATTCCTAGATCAATCAAAGTACAAAGTCATAAATAAAGATCAATGGTGTAATATTTTGGAATTCTCGCGTACCATAAATAATGATTTAACAAATTACGATATTGATGGAGCATGTAAGTTTTTATGAAAAAAAAAATTAAATTTATTTTAATAATTAATTAAAATTATTTTTTTTTCTTTAGGGCCCGTTATGTTGGATGAATTTGTGGAATGGCTACGTTCAATACGCACATGTTCGAGTACAACATCAAGCTGAAATTTTTGGTATAATCCCTATTATCATCATTAGTAACAGTACAGTACATGAAAAACAGATGAATGAACATCAGCCACAACAACAACTAAACACCACCAATCAACCAACCATACCATACTAAATTTAGTAGCAGCTCCTTGAATGATTTGTCCCTAACCTGACCCAAAAAAAAAACTAATGAATTATTTTCTTTAATTCATTTTCCCACCTATTTTTTTCTATTTTTTTAACCTAAAACCCTAAACAATTTTTTTTTTGGAAATCAAATTTTTAAAGCAAAAATATCAACAAAAATGGAAATTAATTAAGATTCTTCAAAAAAATTAATTATGCAATTACCAAAATATTAATAAAGTATATAGAGATACAAAAATTTCATTCAGAAACAAGTAAAGAAAAAAAATAACTCCTTAAAAAAAATATTGAACTCGAAAAAAAAATAAATTATCCTTAAGATAGATTTTTTTGTCAACATCAGATAGAAACAAGGGCTCACTCTTACACCCTTTTTTATATACACAAACTAAATTCCTTCTCTGTAACACCTATACCTTCCAAATAACCTCCTCCCTCTCTCTCTCTTTCTCTTTCCAACACTGTGGTCAGCCAGTCAAATTAGATATTTAAAATAAAACAGAAAAAAGTCACTTCTTTTTGTATGGATTTGATGTAAAATGTGCGTTATATGAATAAGTTACTTTAATATACAAAACAAAACAGGAAATAAATCAACCCCTTCCTCCCTAGGGAAGGGGAGGAAATGTAAAGCTTGAAAAAATAAATTGATTGATCATGATACTATCAAAGCAATGAAATGCAAAAAACAAAATCTAAACATTCTATCATTTTGAGTGAAAGACAGACAACAACCTTTAATTGATATGTGAAAAGCAAAAGAATGATATAAAAACAACAACAACAAAACCAACCTAATTTTTAATTTATAATTTAAGATATTTAATAATAATAATAAAAACAAAAACAACCACAACAATATTGATACATCCAGGGTTTAAAATGCAGCATCAAAAAATATTAGCATTAGTCTTACAGAGCTACTGCTAAAAAATATTGACATTATGACTAAATCAGCAAACGGCTAGCTTTTTTAGTTCGTAGCATCCGTGCTAAGCACGTATTGCACATGCGAGCTTTTTTTGTTATGACTAATCGGCAGTATATATTCATATTTCGCTGCCGACGAATAATCAGCCGAGGGTTGTTTTTATGTTTGTGTGTTGCCAACGCAGAATTAGAAAAACGGCATTTCATTTTGTGCGTTTTTATTTAATTTAAGCTTGTCAAATCGCAATTAAAACTGTCAATAATAGTACTAAAAACTAAATAATATATTAAATTAAACTCTTTTGCAAGTATTACTAATTGTCTTTGTTCGAAAAAATGAAATTATCATAATCGCCATTTTTAATTATCTCATTTAATTTATAAAATATCAATGGGCAACACTGAACTCGAAAAATGCTCGGGTTTTGTTTGCTAAAAATCTTGCTAAGCAGCCACAGTCAAGGTGCTTAGTCTTCATTGTAAGCTTTGGTTGTTAGTCGCGTTGACAATTATGTTGTAGTTGTTCATTGCTATTTTGTAGCTGCTGACAAGATCAAGAAGCTTTAGTTTTGCTTGCTAAAATTATTCGTAATGTATTGCTATTTGTTGCAGTTGTGCTTGGCTGTGCTGCATAGTTTGAGGATGAATTTAGTTAGCAGTGCGCCAATTTTCTGTGTTTTTGCTATTTTGGCGTTAGCATTTTAAACCCTGGATACATCATAACATGCATTTTTATTTTTTCAACATAACCCCAATTAAAATAGCCAATTTATTGATATATATTATAGCTAGACATTTCTTGTGGTCAGGGACCTATAGTGAAATTCAGTGCAGAATATAGTTTCCATTGACACCAACCATGTAGCATGATGTCCTGACGTCATTTCGACACCAAATTGAAATTATTACATTTCTTATTATTTTTTGGTCGTGGACAATTTTAATCTACATTTTATTCCTATGTGTATTATTTCTAGAGATTTCTTCTGGTCAGGAACCTATAGTGAAATTTAATGTAGATTATAGTTGCCATTGACATCAACCTTGTAGCATGGTGTCCAGGGGGGCTACTCTGTATTGCGATGCGTGAGAAAAATTGTAACGTATCGCGTAATTGGTACTCTCTAATTCGTTTTCGTATCTCCTTTCGCATCTACTTTACGCAAATGTAGCATCACCGCACTCTGTAATACGAAAACGCATGTCAAACTCGTTCGTTTATCTTGCGTTAATAAAATAGCAAACGCAAAGGAAGCGAAACATATAAGTAAGCTCCATTAAAGACTTTATTCATATATAAATTGTAAATTATTTTAAGTAAAAGGCAAAAAATCACAGTTACAGGTATAGTGGAAAATATATAGAAGTGGAAACTATATAGAATATAGTTTCCACTAACACCAATTTCGTAGGATGATGTCTTCATGGCATTTGGATACCAAATTTAAAATTAACCAAAATAAGCTGTATTACATTTCTATTCTTGTCCCTGGGTCCTCATTAGAGTATTGATGTACTTAGAGGCCCACAGTAGAATTTCATAGAGAATATTTCTGTAGAACATTTTGCCATGATAGAAGCACGTTTTGTGGGAGATATAATCAAAATGCTGCACACAGACCTTCTGTAGGCCATTTTTCCATATATTCAATAAAAAATGTAAATTTTTTGCTATATGTACTATACCTAGAAATTTCTTCTGGTCGTGGACCTATAGTGAAATTCGATGTAGAATATAGTTTCCATTGACACCAACCATGTAGCATGATGTCATGAGGTCGTTTCGGCACCAAATTGAAAACTAACCTATAAAAATATGTATTACATTTCCTATTGTTTTTTTGGTCGTGGACAATTTAAAATTTACATTTTATCCCTATATATACTATACCTAGAGATTTCTTCTGGTCATGGACCTATAGTGAAATTCGATGTATTATATAGTTTCCATTGACACCAACTATGTAGTATGATGTCCTGAGGTCATTTGGACACCAAATTGAAAATTAACCTATAAAAAAGGTGTATCACATTTCTTATTGTTTTTTTGGTCGTGGCCAATTTAAAATGTACATTTTATTTCTATATATAGTATATCTAGAGATTTCTTCTGTGCATGGACATATAGTGAAATTCAATGTAGAATATAGTTTCCATTGACACCAACCATGTAACATGATGTTCTGAGGCCATTTCGACACCAACTTGAAAACTAACCTATAAAAATGTGTATTACATTTCTTATTGTTTTTTTTTTTTTTTGTCGTAGACAATTTAAAATGTACATTTTATAGCAATATATACTATATCTAGAGATTTCTTCTGGTCTGGGATCTACTGTAAAATTCGATGTAGAATATAGTTTCCATTGACATCAACCACGTAACATGAGGTATTGAGGTCATTTGAACCCCAAACAAAAAATGGTCTAAAAACTAAACTTACAAATGGTGATTAGTAAAGGAAGAGGCGGCTGTTTAATTTTACCTAGATGAGAATAAACAAAAAACAGAACTTTTTTTATTCACATTCTTGTTTGCGATTTGATTTTTTAATTTATAAACAATTTTTCTTTTGTAATTTTAAATAAGATGGTGGGTGCGGAAGGGTGTTTGTTTATATTTAATGGAAAAATAGAAAAAAAATGACGCGATTTAATTACTACAATAAACGTACGTACATATGACAATATAATGGGGTTTTTTGTTTTAAATATTATTTATATTATATACCGATAAAAATACACTACTAGGTAACAAATCTTAAATAAAAATAAATGAGAAATTAAAAAAAATATTTTTTCTCATTATTTTTTTCTTTTCTTCTTCTTTTTCAATTACGGTTTTGTTTGCTTTGCTTTTGGGGAGGAGAGTTTCTTTTTTTTAATTGAATTAAACATAGAGTTTTATAGGGGGGTATGACCGATGCCCATCTATATATAAACATAATGGATGATTCCAAAGTGTTAAGGAGGAGTAGTAGCAGAGGAAATCAGTCTTTAAAAATTTAAAATAAAAAACAGGGTTTTAAGGAGGGTTTCGAGCACGACAGACTTAAACGATATAAATATATATGGTGGTGTATTATGTATAATAATATTAAAAAAATTTTTTAAATTAAAAAAATAGTTAAGAAACAAACAAAAATTAAAATTAACATTATATAAAGGGATAAACAGAGAAGGAGGGGAGGGGGGGATAGTAGAAAAATAAACTGATGTTGCCCTGCTGCTGCTGGTCCTCCACAAACATTTTACAAAAAAATAAAATAAAAAAAAATACAAAAAAAAAAAATAATAATTGCAATACTGGATGCCGATTATCATCATCACCAAAAGGACCTGGACGATCGATGGATCTGGACACATCATTTTGTTTCTAGAAGAACATCTTCTCCAGCATTTTACTTAGCTTCTCATGGGCATAGCGTATTTTCTGATACAAATCCTTCGAACAGCCATGCTGGATGATTGTGGAAAAACGATAAGTACGGAAATTCTTTTCATGATCCATATAGGTAATGGCACTCATGCGGGGACACAAAATAATTTTCATGTGATCGGAGAAATTGAGCTGAAAATTAAACTCCATTAAATAACCGTTCTAAAAAAATATATTTCCATCAAAAACACTCACCTGTACCGTACCATTTGTTAGATGCATAACAACGGCACATGTGGTCCTAAACCATGAATGTAAATGTGGCATACGTGATATTTGATCCGATTCAAAGTTGACATTATTTGCGCCCGCTTTGACCAAATGTTCGGTCATGTAACGTTTGAAATACGAAAGTAATTTCATTTTTTTATCCAAGGCCTTGGAATAATCTGTGGTGGTCATATACGATTCTTTGCCATCTTTATCGATGAAATGGACATTGCTAAAAGAAAAAGGAAGGAAAATGTCACAAATAGAAGGTTCGGTTCCCCCCATCCTATGTATACTCACATTTGATTGGGCAGTAGTATAAGTTTGGTGGTATCATTAAACATAACACCAATACCCTCATCGCATAGCTGATAACCGAAACCATATTTATCACTATAGTCCACCCATTTGGAGATCCAAAACAAGGGTTGAGCAGCAGGATCGGTATTTTCATCACCCAAATTGCCTTGCAGAAGACGAGGCTAGGATAAAAAAAATTTGATTATTTAACTTAGAAAATATCCAGATCGATTCCATTATCTATAGAAAATTGTGTTATCGATGATAACTTCGATAGAAAATTGTGTTATCGATGACAATTTCGATTGATAATTGTGTTATCGATAACATTTCCTATGTTATCGATGACAATTTCGAAAGAAAATTGTGTTATCGATAAAATTTTGCAATGAAAATGGTGTTATCGATGGTTATTTATATATAGAAAATTGCGTTATCTATCCCATTTTTTATAGAAAATTGCGTTATCGATGAAAATTTCGATAGAAAATTGTATTATCGCTAATCTTTTACAATGAATGTTTTGTAATCGAATATACATTGTACAGAAAATGGTATTATTGATGACATTTTTGATATACAACTTTGTTATCGATGGCATTTTCAATGGGCAATATAATACTTTTTACAGAAAATTGTGTTATCGATAACATTTTAAAATGAAAATAGTGTCATCGATGGTTATTTATATTGAAAATTGTGTTATCGATATCTTTTTACAAAGAAAATTGTGCTATCGATATTGTTTTCTATAGAAAATTGTGTTATCGATTGTTTATTATATAGAAGATTGTGGCATCGAAATGAAAGTTATGTTATCGATGACATTTTGATATACAATTTTGTTATCGATGGATAGTATACTTTTTACAGAAAATTGTGTTATAGATGAAATTTTACAGTGGATTTTGTGTTATCGATGGTTATTTATATTGAAAACTGTGTTATCGATAACATTTTACAATGAAAATTGCTATCGAAATTTTCTATAGAAAATGGTGTTATCGATTGCTTATTATATTGAAGATTGTGTCATCGATGATACCTATTACAGAAAAATGTGTAATCGATGACATTTTCGATAAAAAATTGCGTTATCGATAACAATTTCTATAGAATATTGTGTTATCGATAACATTTTACAATGAAAATTGTGCTATCGATACTATTTTCTATAAAAAAAATTGTGTTATCGATTTTTTTATTGTGTTATCGATGATACCTATTACAGAAAAATGTGTTGTCGAAGGCTTTTAATATAGAAAATTGTGTTATCAATGATACTTTTTACAAAAAAAGTGTGTAATCGCTGAGATTTTACAATGAAAATTATCGATGCCATTTTTTTTGAAAATACTGTTATCGATGACATTTTCGATGTAAAAGTGTGTTATAGATTACATTTTCTATAGAATCGTATGTTATCGACGACATTTTCTATATAGAGAATTGTGTTATCGATTATTTTTGCTGGAAAAAATTGTATTGTCGATTATTTTTGCTAGAGAAAATTGTGTTATCGATTGTTTTTGCTAGAAAAAATTGTGTTATCGATTATTTTTGCTAGAGAAAATTGTGTTATCGATTATATTTGCTACAGAAAATTAATTTAGAAAATATTATCGATGAAGATAAGATCTTCTACGTATAGAGAAACCCATCCAGAATGTTTTTTGTATAAGAGAATTCCTCAGAATGTTTTCCACTTATGGAAGTCCTTTCTAGAAGGTCTTCTGTTTTGTAGAAGACCTCTAAAGAAGATTTTCAGCTTATAGAAGACCTCTTTAAAAGTTCGTCTGCAAGCAAAGGACCTCTCCCGAAGTTCTTCTACTTATAGAAAATCTCTCCAGAATGTATTTTACTGCTAAAAGGAGTTCTAATTATAGAAGATCTGGCCAGAAGGACTTTTAAATATAAAAGATATTTTTAGAAAAGCGTTGTACTTATAAATAAACTCCTCATGCCTCTTCCGAAGGCCTTCTACATATAGAAAACCTCTCCAGAAGGTATCCTACTGCTAGATGGAGTTCTACTTATAGAAGAACTTATCAGAAGGACTTTTAAATAAATGGATGATATTTCCAGAAGGTGTTGTACTTATAAATGAACTGCTCAGAATATCTTCTTCCTCTTAAGCTGGTCTTCTTCCCTTTAGCAAGAATTCTACTTATATAATACTTCTCATGCAGTTCTTCCATTTATAAAAGAAAATATTCTACTTTTAGAATAACACAGTAGAAGTTCTTCAACATAGAAAAGCTTTCCACAGGTCCAAACATTTTTCAAAGGCTCCCTTTTCCTTGGTTTTCATTTTTTTAATTCAATTTTACCACGATCCACTCACTCACCTTGGCATTAATCAAATTGGTCAGCTGTTGATACAAACTCTCAATATCACTGCGATAATCTTCATTATGTCGGCAAACTTGTGCCGATGCCGTGATAGCATCATGCAGATTATTCTTAAGAAATGTCGATTCCAAACGTGTATCATCCTTGATGCCATTAAACTCGGTCAACGGTTTACGTTGAGCATTCTCGTGATCAATTGTTTCGTTCAGCTCAAGACGTGGTGCCATTGTCAGACAGGAGCTGGGCAAAAACATCGGCACCGGTGAACTGCTCAAAAATTCGAAATGCAAGAGATCACCAATTGTTGGACGATTTTCGGGATTCGATTGTAACATTGATATGACCATATCGGCTGCCGATTTACGCAAATAACTCGGTACACGATAATCACATTTCTTGATTTTTGAATAGGTATCTTTGAGGGTTTTCGTTTCGAATGGTGGCTGGCCGACTAGCAGGGTGTACATAACACAACCAATTGACCAAATATCCACTTCATAGGAATGTCCTTTTTTGGTGAGAATTTCCGGAGCAATATAATTGGGTGTGCCGCACAGGGTACGTTTACGTTCACCCTCATATTCGATACGAGTGGCTAGACCAAAATCGCCAATTTTAACATGCAACATATCATTGAGAAAGAGATTACCCAATTTCAGATCACGATGAATGATACGATTATCGTGCAGGTACTTTACACCCTGTATGATTTGATAGATATAGTAACGGCATTCGTATTCGGTGATGGTTTTTCGACGTTTGTGCAATTCCATCATGGACTGTAAATAAAAAGGGAATTATTACAAAAAATGATTAATAGAGGTGGGGGAGTTTTATTTTGTATGTTTTTGTAACTTACCCTTTTCTTGCACAGCTCCAGCACAATATAAATATTAAAGCTATCCTCAAAGAACCCATGGAATTTAACAATATTTGCATGATTCAGACTGCGATGAATGGTGATTTCTTGGGTCATTTTCTCTTTTTGATTATGTTTCATCATGAGTTTTTTCGAAACAATTTTGCCGGCATACACATCGTTTGTAACGACATCGATGATTTCGTAACATTTTGCAAAGCCACCCTGCGACACAAGAAAACAAAAGGTATTAATAAATATCGAAATAAAAAAATACTATGAGGTTAGTTTAAATGGAAAAAATATTCTACATCGAATTTCATGATAGGTCCACGACCAAAAGAAATCGGTAGATATAAATTATATTGCCATAAGTAACCCATTTTAAGGTTAGTTTTTTTACGTTTTTTAATTTGGTGCCCAAATGACGTCAGGACATCATGGTACGTGATTGGTGTCAATGGAAACTATATTCTACATTGAATTTCACTATAGGTCGCCGACCAGAATAAATCTCTAGAAATAATACATATAGGAATAAAATGTATATTTTAAATTGAATATGTGAAGAAATGGCCTACAGAAAGTCTGGGTGCCAGACTTTTGGTATATCTCCCACAAAACGTGTTTTTATCATGGCAAATGTTCTACAGAAATATTCTCCATAAAATTCTACTATGTCTCCGAGTACATCAATCCTGTTATGAGGACCTGGGACGAGCCAGAAACAAAATGAAATGTAATACACCTTATTTTAGGTTAGTTTTCAATTTGGTGCCCAAATGGCGCCAGGACATCATGCTATGTGCTTGGTGTCAATGGAAACTTTATTCTTCATCGAATTTCACTATAGGTCACCGACCAGAAGAAATTTCTAGATTTAGGTCATATAGGAATAAAACGTGTATTTTAAATTGACTATGTAGAGAAATGACCTACAGAAGGTCTGGGTGTAAAATTATGGTTATATCTCCCACAAAACGTAGTGCTATCAAAACAAAATGTTCTACAGAAATATTCTCCATAAAATTCTACTATGGGTCTTCAAGTACCTCAATCTTCTAATGTGGGCCTGGGACGAGCCAGAAACAACAATATATGCAATACCCCTTATTTAAGGTTAGTTTTTAATTTGGTATCCAAATGACCTCAAGACATCATGCTACATGGTTGGTGTCAATGAAAACTATATTCTACATTGAATTTCACTATAGGTCACTGAACAAAAGAAATCTGTACATATAAAATATATCGCGAAAAATCGCATATTTTGAGGTTAGTTTTTTTCATTTTTCGATTTGGTGCCCAAATGCCGTCAAGACATCATGCTACGTGCTTGGTGTTAATGGAAACTATATTCTACATCGCATTTCAGCATAGGTCACCGACCAGAAGAAATTTCTAGATATAGCACGTATATCTACCATAAAACATGGTTCTATCGCGGTAAAATGTTCTACAGAAATATTCTCCATAAAATTGTACTATAGGTCTCCTAGTACATCAACCCTCTAATATGGACATGGGACGATCCAGAAACAAAAATCTATGTAATAAACCTTATTATAGGTTGGTTTTTAATTTGGTGTCCAAAAATACCATTAAGACATCAAGCTACGGGGTTGGTATCAATGGAAACTATATTCTACATTGAATTTCAGCATAGGTCACCGACCAGAAGAAATCTCTAGATATAGTACATATAGGAATAAAACATATATTTTAAATTGAATATGTGAATTATTTTAAATTATAAGAAAATACAAGGGTCTAAATGGAACTTATATGCAGATATCCGAAAAGAAATAATTTATACAGTTTTATAATCAGGGCTTCAGGGGCTACCTATTTTAAAAATTTCATAACGATCCGCCATCATGGCCTCAAACTAGACATATAGGAGAAAATCAGAAAAATCGGAAATGAGACCCTAAACTCAAATTAAGCCATACTCTGTTCGATGTTAGGCGAAATATTATGAAATTCCTTTAAACATTTTTTAGGACTTTATTTAAAATTCCATTATCACATAAATTCCCTAAGAGTATTTTCATAACTATCAGCTGATTCTAAACAAAATCATATTTTTTGTGTTTAAAATAATTCAAAATTATTTTACTTTAAATTCCAACGTATATTTTTCAAAAAAGACAGGCTTGGCCCTTTTCAAAAACAACCCTGCAAAAGCAAGGCTGCTTAATGTTGCAAAAGAACGAAAAAACAAAAAAACATGCACAGGGTTGATCAACATATAACACAAAAACAACAACAAGGCATGGCAGCGGCCAGCCGGCAAATATGCAAACAGCGAGTTAAATTAACAAAAAAAATACAACAAAATAATAATTAAAAATATAAATTAAAAAAATCATGATCTGTTCTTCTCCTTACCTTTCCAAAAAATCGCATACGTTTGTAGGTTTTATTATTGGTAGAATCGTATAGTCTCTCTGGTATGTCAGAGGACTTATCATCGACCTTTGCTGCCATTTTTTTCTGCACGACAAGACTCGATCGATCGCACAGCACACACTCTTAATCCTTCCTTTTTTCTTTGATCTTCTTTTCAAACGAAACGAAGCGCGATTGCAATTCTTGTATATTTTCAATTATTTACAATTTAATTATTTTGTTCGTTTTACTTTTTGATTTAATCAAAAGTATGACAATAAAAAAAATATTCTTTTTCAAAAAAAACTCAACACGTGAAAACAATAAAATAACAAAAAATAAAACGATGCTCCTTTCTTCCAGCCAATTTCTTCAGGAATGTGAAACAATAAATAAAAAAATACATAAACAAAAAGATAACAACACTTAGGCGTTGCCTTTCCGCTATTTCTTTCAAAAAAACTTAGTCCAGAGTTGGCTTGTGCTTTTGCAATAAAAGAAATTTTATAATAAAAAATCCTTGTAATTTGGTTTTCTCTTTTCTTATATTTTTTGGCGGCCAACACACACGCAACTCACGACGGACGACGGCAACCGATAACGACAGCTTCAACAAACAAACGACTTCAACGAATGACTTTGCTGCTTCTTCTTCGCCTTGTCATTTGGCGTTCAACGAATTGCGAAACAAGAAAAAAATGCGTGCAAACACAACAACAACAAACCAAAAACAACCGTTTGCGGGTAAATTCAAATGCTAGCAAAAACAAATGTAGCGAGTAAGGGCATGAAGAGCAACAGCAATTGTCATAGTTTTGTCGTTTTTTAACAGGTTGCCAGCTGTTCTCTCTCTCTCGTGGCGTTTACTCGCCAAATGCCATTGTTGAAGGCATGAGTGAATGAATGGCAATGCCATGTGATGTATTTTATACACTCAGCGCGTAAGAAAAGTTTGTAAATTCGTATTGTTTATATAATTAATCATGGTATAATAATAGAAGGTAACAGCAAGTGTTGTTGTACAAAAAACGATACAACAACCACATGTAAATTTGTTGTTGTAAGTTCTATTAGTGTCAACTCATTTGACAGAAAAATGTAAACAAACAAATAAATTATCATCAAATTATTTTTATTTTGAAAATGAAATATTTTCGAATCCTCAAAATAAAAATTGAAAAACATGAATGAAAATCTATCAAATTTATATTTCTATCGCTTCCACATCTTTCCTATAATTGAGCCATATATATGTGTAACACATATGAAAATGCTGGGAATAGCAAGTTATTCCTTCATGAAAGATATGCTTCCTCAAACTTTCCCAGCAGGCAGATTGAGTAAATAGAATACGTGAGCACATTTAATAAAGAACAATTTCAAATTGTATCCGTTCCCATTTTTCCTGTTGGGTGATTTTTAAAAACATAATTTGTCAAATTCATATTGACACTAGTATTACGTTGGAATCAAATCAGCTGGGATTTGCTGTTACCTTTTATAATTGTACCATGATAATTAATGGTGTTTTTACACGAAATGGAGATGTGGCAAAAGTATGAGTGTCTCTACAGCCCCAAACATAAATATTACCCTCGAATTACACTCGATTCAGTCAACATAGTCTGTTTTGATAGATCCACTTATTATTGCATCATGGAACGAACGACCCATGATGCAATAATAATCGAGACATCAGCTGCGCTAAATGGTCTACCTATTTATTATGCCATAGAACGAACGATGTAAAAGTCTGAACAGCTGATAAATAACAAATGAACTATAAAGTGGACCGCACATGGTCATGCTGCATGACATGCATTTTGTGGTGTTAGTGGTAAATTTGTATCATGGCGTCGCACCTACAATGCATAAAAGAAAATCAAAATTTTTGGATTTTTTTATGCATGACGCTCAATTTTGACGTGTGTGTACGATTAAGGAATCTTTCATATTCTTATTTGTGGCGAATGGGTGTATAGAGATGTTGCTTTTTTAGCTTTTTCTTTATTTTTCATGCATTCATGAACCATGTGCATTGAAGCTTCATGTACACGATTTGATGTAATGCAAGGTTTATATATACAAGGTAGCCGCAATGGCGAATTTCTATCACAAACATCGGTTGTTGTATTTTGATATGTCAAAAATATTTTGCCAAAACGAACAGATTCACAAGATTTTTTGACACAAATTCTTGTAGAAAATGTTAGTAAAAGTATTGCAAAACAAGCTCTTCGAAATTTGGAGATTTTCATTTATAATTTTGTTTTTTTAATTTTTTAGTTCTACATTACAACAACATTTTTGACATTTATTTGCACCGACAGCTGGGCCGATGCGGCTATCTTATTGAATATACATTGATGTAATGCATGCATGATCTTGTGCCCCCACTTAATGAACGACTATGACTGAACTGGTTCCGTTGCTCTTTCAACTGAATCGTTCATCTGAACTAGTTAGTTCGCGAATTTTACATCTTTGTGTCGGCCGCCAAAAAATACGAGAAAAGAAGAAAGCCAAATTACAAGGATTTTTAATTATAAAATTCTTTTATTGAAAAAGCACAATCCAACTCTGAAGTCCAGAGTCTGGATTAATTTTTTTAAGAAAGGCAAGACCTAAGTGTTGTTATATTTTTGTTAATGTGTTTTTATATTATTGTTGTACATTCTGATGAAATTCGCTAGGATAAAAAAAGGACTCAAGGAATATCGTTTTCTGTTATTTTATTTTTTTCATGTGTAGAGTTTTTGAAAAAAGAAAAAAAAAAGTATTTTTTTATTGTCATTTTTTTTGATTGAATCAAAAAGTAAATGAACGAAATATATAATTGTATATAATTGAAAATGTAAAACAGAAGATCAAAGAAAAAGGATTAATCCGAGCTGTGCTCTAGCGTGACCATATTGTCACATTCATTAGACGATCAATAAATCATCTGGTGTGAACTATTGATAAACAACAGACCACTGACATCAATTTTATTTGGTGAGTTCCAATTGATCCGGTCGATTGTCCTGATAAGAAAAAAGGATACAAATTAATTTTTTTTGGATTCAGTGACTAACAATCTAGAGACACTGAAAGTTTCGTCCCAAAATAAAAAAAAAAAATAATTACAGACGTATTTGGGACAGGAGTGTGCTGTGCGATCGAGTCTTGTCGGGCAAAAAAAATGGCAGCAAAGGTCGATGATGAGTCCTCTGACATACCAGAGCGACTTTACGATTCTACCAATAATAAAACCTACAAACGTATGCGATTTTTTGGAAAGGTAAGAAGAAGAACATGAAATCATGATTTAAAAAATATACGTTTTTAATCATTATTGTTTTTATTGTCAATTTTTACAATAGGTTGGCCTTGGGGCTCTGTTTATAAAACTGGACCCATTTGGACCCTTGTATGTTCTAATGATTTTTAAAAAAATCCCATATTCAATTTAAAATATGTATACATTTTCTTGCTATATGTTGTATACCTGGAGATTTCTTTTTGTTGTGAAATTCAATGTAGAATATAGTTTCCAGTTGACACAAACCATGTAGTGTCTAGTATGATGTGTAAACGGCATTTGGGCACCAAATCAAAAAATGTGAAAACTAACCTTAAAAAAGAAAATGTTTGGCTATTTATTTTTTATATACAGATTTCTTTTGATCGGTGACCTATAGTGAAATTCGATGTAGAATATAGTTTCCATTGACACCAACTATGTAGCGTGATGTCTAGACGGCATTTGGGCACCAAATTGAAAACTAACCTACAATACCGTTTGTTACATTTTTTTCTTGTTGCTGGCTCGTCTCATGTCCACATAAGAGGATTGATGTACATGTAGACATATAGTAGAATTGTATGGAGAATATTTCTGTAGAACATTTTGCCATGATAGATGCATGTTTTGTGGGAGATATAACCTATTTTACAGCCAGACCTTCTATAGGTCATTTCTTTACATATTCAATTTAAAATATATATTTTATTACTATATGTATTATTTCTAGAGATTTCTTGTGGTCGGCGGCCTGTAGTGAAATTCGATGTGGAATATAGTTTCCATTGACACCAACTACGTAGCATGATGTCTTGAGGCCATTTGGACGCCAAATTGAAAATTACCTAAAATAAGGTGTATTACATTTCTTCTTTCCTCTGACTCGTCCCAGGTGCACCTTAGAGGATTGATGTACTTGGACAACCATAGTAGAATTTTATGGAGAATATTTCTGTAGAACATTTTGCCATGATAGATGCATGTTTTGTGGGAGATATAACCTATTTTACATCCAGACCTTCTTTAGGTCATTTATAAACATATTCAATTTATAATATATATTTTATTCCTATATGTGTTATTTCTAGAGATTTCTTGTGGTCGGTGGCCTGTAGTGAAATTCGATGTAGAATATAGTTTCCATTGACACTAACTACGTAGCATAATGTCTTGATGCCATTTGGACCCCAAATTGAAAACTAACCTAAAATTAGGTGTATTAAATTTCTTTTTGTTTCTGGCTCGTCCCAGGTGCACATTCGAAGATTGATGTACTTGTGCACCCATAGTAGAATTTTATGGAGAATATTTCTGTAGAACATTTTACCATGATAGATGCATGTTTTGTGGGAGATAAAACCACTATTTGGACACTGACCTTCTGTAGGCCATCACATATTCAATTTAAAATTACATTTTATAGCTGTATATACTATATCTAGAGATTTCTTTTGGTTGTGGACCTATAGCGAAATTCAATGTAGAATATAGTTTTCATTGACACCAACCATGTAGAATGATGACCTGAGGTAATTTGGGCACAAAATCGAAAAACGTAAAAAACTAACCTTAAAATAGGCTACTTATGGCTTTAATATTTATACCTACAGATTTCTTTTGGTCGTGGACCTATTATGAAATTCGATGTATAATATTTTTTTCCATTTTGATTTCTATTTTTTTTTATTACCTTTTCTCCTGTCGAATTTAATTAGAAGAAAGTCAGAATTTTTCTTGTGCGCTTATTTTGTTCTCTAAAAGAAGGGTGGCATAATGTTGCAAAATGTTATCGAAAAGGTCTTAACCATATATTATATGAGGCCTATTCCAAAAGATAGACAAAATTATGTTTTCAATATCTTTTGGAATAAAATCCATATAATTATGTGGTTCTGGGTGAAATTCAATTTGAAGAAGTGGACACTTAAACACGTTTTGTATGCCTTTATGTTTATTTACTATTTTCTAAATTTCAACAATTAAAGCAACAGCAAAATGGGTCTACGATACTATGAAGTTGATTTCATTTTCATTCACAAATGTATTTCAAAATTTTTCAAAAAGTAAACAAATATTTTTACTATTATTTCAAAATGGTGAATTCTGATTGGTTGAATTTAATTTGCTTCAAGTTTTGTATGTCACGGCGAATCAGTTATTTTTCGCCTTGTTAACAATGTTGACATATCATGTTCCCAATTCGCCGATGCGGCTACCTTATATATCTACCTTGACCTTTTCTTTTCTTGTGCGCAGGGTGGCCGGCAAAATTGTTTCGAAAAAATTCATAATGAAACATAATCTAAAAGACCAAATGACCCAAGAAATCACCATTCATCGCAGTCTGAATCATGCAAATATTGTTAAGTTTCATTGGTTCTTTCAGGACAGCTTTAATATTTATATTGTACTGGATCTGTGCAAGGAGCGGGTAAGTTACAAAAACAAATAAAATAAATCCCTCCCTACTCAATTATTAATATTTTGAATTAATTCCCTTCTACTTCCAGTCCATGTGGGAATTACTCAAACATCGAAAAACCATAACTGATTACGAATGCCGCTACTATATCTACCAAATAATACAGGGTGTGAAGTACCTGCACGATAATCGTATCATTCATCGTGATTTAAAGTTGAATAATATCTTCCTCAATGATATGTTACAAGTGAAAATTGGCGATTTTGGTCTAGCCACACGCATCGAATATGAGGGTGAACGGAAAAGTACCCTGTGCGGCACACCCGATTTTCTTGCTCCGGAAATTCTCACCAAAAAAGGATATTCCTATGAAGTGGATATCTGGGCAATTGGTTGTGTTATGTACACCCTGCTAGTCGGCCAGCCACCATTCGAAACGAAAACCCTCAAAGATACCTATTCAAAAATCAAGAAATGTGATTATCGTGTTCCGAGTTATTTGCGTAAATCGGCAGCCGATATGGTCATATCAATGTTACAATCGAATCCCGAAAATCGTCCAAAAATTGGTGATCTCTTGCATTTTGAATTTTTGAGCAGTTCACCGGTGCCGATGTTTTTGCCCAGCTTCTGTCTGACAATGGCACCACGTCTTGAGTTGAACGAAACAATTGATCACGAGAATGCTCAACGTAAACAGTTGACCGAGGAATTGAAAAGTAGTGTAACAACTACTATTTACTACAACGAATTGAGTTTCCTAACCAGACACGGTAAAATACGAAAAAAGGAATACAATTCATTCGTAAGTAATTGTTTTTTTTAAATAATATTTATTTACAATTATTATAAATTTTTTTTAATTTCATTAGTTGCAGGAACAAAGTTCGTCCTCGCTTGAGGACACTTGGGACGCGTCCCCACTCATTGAAACAAATGTTTCATCCTCTACCAGTGCTGCGTCACCACCACCATGCAAAATGGCTAAATTGGAAAACTCAAGTAGCAGCTTGAGAGGGCAGTATACTGATGAGCTTTCCAAAGCAGAGGAATTGGAAAGTGAATCAGCAGAAGGCGATGATAATTATGTACCAACTACATGCAATGTATTTGTAAGTAATTATTTTAAAATATAATATTTATTTACAGTTATTATACATTTGTTATTATTTCATTTGCTGCAGGAACAAAGTTCATCGTCGCTAGAGGACACTTGGGACTCGTCCCAACCAATTGAAACAACTGTTTCCTCTACCAGTGCTGCGTCACCACCACCATTGGAAAACTCAAGTAGCAGCTGCTCGAACAGTGAGGATGCTCTATTTATAGCAGCTGTAAATGCCTTATATAATTTGACTACGGATGACAATAAAAATGAAATAATATTGGATCAGTTGGTGGAAAGGATTGCCCTGGCGTTCTTGGAAGCTAAGAAAAAACAACGCTTACTCGAAGAAAATTCAGATAATTTTCCTGAATTCACATTTAGTTCTTCACTTAATTCGATATACGGGAATTAAGTGAAAAGGGCCAAGAGCGATGACAAAAAGCTCAAAGCTAACAATGCATACCTGATAATTTTTAATTTTATAGTTTTAATTATAATTTAATTTTTAAAATAAAACAAACTAACAAAAAGGGCTCAGCCTATAATTGAAAATTGTATTTGCATTTGCTGGCCTTACCTCCATAAGGTTTCAGCATTCTTGATGATAGCCGAGGGAAGCGTCGGAGAATATTTTTTCCATTGGGTCCATAACGGTAAAACGAATTTTTCTAACAAAAAGGGCTTAGCCTATAATTGAAAATTGTATTTGCATTTGCTGGCCTTACCTCCATAAGGTTTCAGCATTCTTGATGATAGCCGAGGGAAGCGTCGGAGAATATTTTTTCCATTGGGTCCATAACGGTAAAACGAATTTTTCTTGAACAAATTTGGTCAATTGTGAAAAAAATGCCCAAAAAATATAAATTATTTTCTGTTTATTAAAAAATAAATCAAAATTAATATTTTATTGTTATATACAATATTGCTAGGGATTTCTTTTGTTTGGGGACCTATAGTGAAATTTTGGGGAGAATATTTTTTCCATTGGTACCATTTCAATAAAGTAAATATTTCATGAACAAAATTGGACATTTTAAAATAGACCAAAAAAATACATTTCATTAAAAGCTAATTTAAAATTAATATTCTATTGCTATATATAATATTGCTGGGGATTTGTTTTGTATGGAGACTTATAGTGAAATTTAGTGGAGAATATTTTTTCCATTAGTACAATACGGCTAAAATCAAGTTTTGTTGAAAAAAATTGGTCAATTGTAAAAAATTCCCAAAAAAGATCAATTATTTTCTTTTCATTCAAAAACTAAATAAAAATCTATATTTTATTGCTATATATAGCATTGCTAGGGATTTATTTTGTTTGGTGAACTATAGTGAAATTTAGTGGACCATTGGGTCCATAACGCTACAATGAATTTTTCTTGAAATAAATGGGTCAATTGTAAAAAAATGCCCAACAAAAAGAGAAATTATTTTCGGTGCATTAAAAACTAAATTAAAATTAATATTTTATTTTAACTTATAGTGAAATTTAGTGGAGAATATATTTTCCATTGGTACCATCTCACTACAACTAATTCTTAATAGAAATATTTGGTCATTTGTAAAATATACCCAAAAAAGATAACTTATTTGTCGGTATATTAACAACTAAATTAAAATTAATATTTTATGGCTATATATAACATTGCTAGGGATTTATTTTGTTTGGTGGCCCATAGTGAATTTTAACGGAGAATATTTTTTCCATTGGGTCCATAACGCTAAAACGAATTTTTCTTGAAAAAATGGGTCAATTGTAAAAATGCCTAAAAAAGATCAATTATTTTCTGTTCATTAAAAAACTAAATTAAATTTAATATTTTATTGCTATATATAACATTGCTAGGGATTTCTTTTGTGTGGAGACTTATAGTGAAATTTAGTGGAGAATATTTTTTCCATTGGTGACATCACGCTAAAACGATTTTTTCTTGAAAAAAAAATGGGTCAATTGTAAAAAATGCCCAAAGAATATAAATTATTTTTTTGTATATAACAACTAAATTAAAATTAATATTTTATGGCTATATACAACATTTCTAGAAATTTATTTTGCTTGGGGGTCCATAGTGAAATTTAGTGGGGAATATTTTTTCCATTGGTAGCATACGGCTAAAATCAAGTTTTGTTGAAAAAATGGGTCAATTGTAAAAAATGCCCAAAAAGGATAAATTATTTTTTGTTAATTAAAAACTAAATCAAAATTAATATTTTATAGCTATATATACCATCGCTAGAGATTTATTTTGTTTGGGGACCTATAGTGAAATTCAATGGAGAATATTTATTCCATTGGGTCCATAACGCTAAAACGATTTTTTCTTGAAATAAATGCGTCAATAGTAAAAAATGCCTAAAAAGATCAATTATTTTCTGTTCATTAAAAACTAAATTAAAATTAATATTTTATTGCTATATATAACATCGCTAGAGATTTCTTTTGTTTGGTGACCTATAGTGAAATTTAGTGGAGAATATTTTTTCCATTGGTACCATATCGCTAAAATGAATTTTTGTTAAAGAAATTGGGTCAATTGTAAAAAATAACCAAAAAGTTAAATTATTTTCTGTTCATTAAAAAACTAAATTAAATTTAATATTTTATTGCTATATATAACATTGCTAGGGATTTCTTTTGTGTGGAGACTTATAGTGAAATTTAGTGGAGAATATTTTTTCCATTGGTGACATCACGCTAAAACTATTTTTTCTTGAAAAAAAATGGGTCAATTGTAAAAAATGCCCAAAGAATATAAATTATTTTTCTGTATATAACAACTAAATTAATATTAATATTTTATGGCTATATATAACATTGTTAGAAATTTATTTTGCTTGGGGGTCCATAGTGAAATTTAGTGGGGAATATTTTTTCCATTGGTAAAACGATTTTTTCTTGAAATAAATGGGTCAATTGTAAAAAATGCCTAAAAAGATCAATTATTTTCTGTTCATTAAAAACTAAATCAAAATTAATATTTTATTGCTATATATAACATCGCTAGATACCATCTCACTACTACTAATTCTTGATAGAAATGTTTGCTCATTTGTAAAATATACCCAAAAATGCCCCACAATGTTAATTTTTTTTTTTTTTTTTTTTGCATTAAAAACAAAATAAAAATTAATATTTTATGGCTATATATAACATTGCTAGGGATTTCTTTTGTTTGGTGACCCATAGTGAAATTTAGTGGAGAATATTTCTTCCATTGGTACCATATCGCTAAAATTAATTTTAAAGGAAAAAATTGGTCATTTAAAAAATGCCGCAAAAATAATTTGTTTTTGTATTCCTATTTTTTTTTATAAGCAAAATACTTTAGCATTTTTATTTGTATTCCTTTTTATTTATTGTTTAAAAACTAATAATTTGTATTATTTATTGGTTTTATTTTTCTTATTATACATTTGAAAGCAAAATCAAAAATCATTTCCTTTATCTGTTGTTTTTTTTTTCATTAAATCTAAAGCACTTAAAAACAATAGGTGGTTGTGAAATAAAAATTATCAAAAAATTTATGGAAGAAGTGGGGAGGATAGAAAAATGGCAAGATTAGAAAAAAAATTAAAGTGTGGAAATATTATAACAAAAGAGGGGCCTATTAGAGTAGGCAAGATTTGGTAGGGAAAACAAAGCCTTTTTATGGTGGTGAAAAATAGTGAAATATAACGTGCAGAGGAGACCAAGAAATAGAGAGTGAAAGATGAAGAATATAGAGTAGAGTGTGTGGTAAATTTCTTTTTGTTTATAGTTTTTTTTTTTAATATAGAATTTCTTTCTTTTAAAACGCATCCCTATGACACGTTGTTGTTCATTTTTTTGTTTTTACTAAATACATTTTTTAAATATTTAAATTTCATTAAGTTACATTATGTGGTTGGTTTTTTTTTACTATTATTACAATTCATTAGAAATATTTAATGTTTTTTTCTTTAAGTTTGGGGGGAGAATTATGGGAGGGGAGGTTGATTGGTTGGGTTTACAATTTCTATTTTTTCGCTACAGCTCTTGGTTGTTTTTATTTAAATTTTTTGTATCCAAATACTTCTTTTCGAATGGATAAAAAGCAAAAAAAAAATATTTTATATTCTCAGTTGTTGATTTTGTTTTTTATTAGTACAAATAATTTAAAATATGTTTACTGTTTCTTTTTTGTTTTTGTTGTTGTTTTGCATTTTAAAAATCGTAAACAAACAATCGTTAGCCATAATTCATATTGTGCGCTGCTGATGTTTGAAAGCTATTGGATATGTTCTTCTGTTGACTGCTTTGCTGCTGCTGAGGTGAAGCCGACGACGTTAGGGCTGTATTGTTGCTTTGCAGGTAATGTTGTAACAGCTGTCGATTCTCTTGGCACCATTCGACAAAATCATCAATTAGCACAGGCCATGCTCCCTCCGAGTCATAGTTGCTCATATTGTCATCAATGTGTGTGGCAAAATCGAGCAGCAGATTCCATGTGTCCTTGGGTATTGAACGTTTGTGTTTTTCCTGGGGAAAGGAGGAGAAGGAAACAAGGTTATTATTTTGATATAGAAAATTTAATGGAGAATATTTTTTTCCGTTGGTAAAAATTGGGTCAATTGTAAAAAAATCCAAAAAAAAAGAGAAATTATTTTTTGTGCATTACAAACTAAATTTAAAATAATATTTTATTGCTATATATAACATTGCTAGAGTTTTCTTTTGTTTGGTGACCTATAGCGAAATTTTATGGAGAATATTTTTTCCATTGGTACCATATAGCCAAAATGATTTATTCTTGAAAAAATTTGGTCAATTGTAAAAAATGCCCAAAAAAGTGAAATAATTTCTGTACATTAAGAACTAAATAAAAATTTATATTTTATTGCTATATATGACATCGCTAGAAATTTCTTTTGCTTGGTAACCCATAGTAAAATTTAATGGAGAATATTTTTTCCATTGGTACCATATCGTTAAAATGAATGTTTGTTGGAAAAATTTGGTCAATTGTAAAAAATGCCCAAAAAAATCAATTATTTCCTGTGCATTAAAAAAAATAAAAATGAATATTTTATTGCTATAGAACATTCCTATGGAATTATTTTGGTTGTTGACCCATAGTGAAATTTAGTGGAGAATATTTTTTCCATTGGTACCATATCGCTAAAATTATATTTTCCTGAAAAAATTTGGTCAATTGTAAAAAAATGCCCAAAAAGTTAAATTATTTTCGGTGCATTAAAAACTAATTTAAAATTGATATTTTATTGCTATATATGACATCGCTAGGGATTTATTTTGTTTGTGGACCCATAGTGAAATTTAGTGGAGAATATTTTTTCCATTGGTACCATATCGCCAAAATGATTTTTTCTTGAAAAAATTTGGTCAATTGTAAAAAATGCCCAAAAAAAAAAAAGAAATTATTTTCTGTGCATTAAAAACTAAATTTAAATTTATATTTTATTGCTATTTATGACATCGCTAGATATTTCTTTTGTTTGGTGACCCATAGTGAAATTTAATGGAGAATATTTTTTCCATTGGTACCATATTGCTAAAATGAATTTTTATTGGAAAAATTTGGTCAATTGTAAAAAATGCCCAAAAAATTAAATTATTTTCTGTGCATTAAAAAACTAAATTTATATTTATATTTTATTGCTATATATAACATTGCTAGAGAATTATTTTGCTTGGAGACTTATAGTGAAATTTAGTGGAGAATATTTTTTCCATTGGTACCTTATCGCTAAAATGAATTTTTCTTGAAAAAATTTGATAAATTGTAAAAAATGCTCAAAAAAGATAAATTATGTTTTGTTTCCATTTCCACCCCCCCACCTCTTTCATCATCGCACGTACGTACTCACCTTTAAAAACTTACACCATAAATCCAGAAATTTAAAACGCCCACTTAACACAATTGTCCAATACGCTATGGCCATATCCAAATCGATACCCTTCTGCCCTGGATCCTTGGCATAGTTAAATGTGAACTGATAGAAATCTTTAAATTTTGCCAAATCGTTCAGTTCCATTTCAAGCTGTGGCAATTTGGCTTTCAGTTTATCAATACTATCGACACCCAATTCAGACATGCCATTAACAAATTCCTCGCGGGTAAATTCACACTGTACTTCGGCATGAAATTTCCATGCTATAATTAGGACCAACTTCGAATCGGGACTTAGCTCTAAATCGTCGAGAAAACGTATCACACCCTCGGAGGTGATTTTCTGTGAATCGTTGGGATCACGATAGCGCATAAACAGCTGATCGATACGTTTGCGATCCAATTCGCGATAATAGTATTCGGGATTCTGAAAGTAGTTATCGCTGGCCAAATCCAATTTCCAATCATTTTGCTGCAGGCAATAGATGGCCGTCTGTTCACCCGTCTGTGTTAGGGATATGAATTTTTTCACCCGATCCTTTTGTGTTGATTTCAATTTGTTCTGCAATAGAAGAAGAGGAGGAGGAAATATGAGAATTCTTTGTGGATTCTTTGCGAATTGTTTTTTGCGTTAATTGCATTAATGTGGCGGATTGTGCGGTGGAGGAGGGAGGCCTCTGTTGTTGTTTGACAAATTTTGTTCCCCTATTTATTTACATAATTTTCTGTTTTTACTTATTTATTTGTTGCATAAAAATCGCTGGGATTTGATAATCTGATCATTTTTTTTTATTTGCCTCAAAATAAATTGTCGCATTTGTCATAACTTTCTATTTTTTTCTTGCTTCGAGACCCCCAAATCATCCGCACAAGCATATTTATAGTTACATATATCCGTTTGGAAGCATAGCCGATAGAACACATACCATTTTTTCGCGAAACTTCTTGTTGTCCCTTGCTTATTTTAGAAGAAGAAGACAATGTCGACGACGGACGCTAAGTTGTAACAAACAATATTATAAATTTCTTCTATTAGCTATTTGTTGTTAGCGATATAATTTCCCTTGCTGCTATTTTTCTTTTGGATAGGTGAGGGATATGGAAGTCGACTTACGACTAATCGATAAATTTTGCAGTTGATATTGACAAGTCGACATCGATATTTGATTATGGAGGAAATCGCAATAAAGACTTTCGATTTTCTTTATGTTCGCATGAAGTATATGGCAACAAAAATATAAAAAATTTCCTTATTTGTTTTGTCCAGGCGGTTGTCTATTGTGTTTTCCAACTAGAATTCTAATTGTCAAATAAGTAATGCGCAGCAATGGCGCGCCCTTAGCAAAAATGAAACATGACCAATCAAATCTAAAAACGTTCCAAACGCTTTAAATAGGGGGGACAGGAGATAATGACCATTAAAGACCAAATCGAAATGAAAATGGAAGATACTCGCCATATTTACGAATATGAGTGTGAAACATACGCCATCTGGTCCTCTTCATATGTAGAAAGAAGGGACATAGGATAAAGTACTATGGCACACCCTTTGCCATATTTACGAATAAAAGTGTGCAGCATACGCCGTGTGGCACTCATTATATTTAGAAAGAGGAGGTATAGAAATGGCGCACCATCAGCCAAAATTAAAAAAAATGACCAACTTAATCTAAAAACGTTCCAAACGCTTTAAATATGGGATATTGAAGAAACTACCGTTAAAAATCAAATCGAAAACGGAAGGCAGTCGCCATATTTACGAATGACAGAAAAGGGAGCATAATGCCGTGTGACACTTGTTATATTTAGAAATAGGGGCCATAGAAGAAGGGGTCAAAATGGCTATGAGTCAATCGCAATATCGTCATATCGATGGACACTCGTTCATTTCCTCCGGGACTCCCCCCCTTAACCCGCTGATTGTCCAAGACAGTTTATTTAATATTCACAGTTACCCAAAGAATAATATTGGGCTTTCCAGTGTGGATGCCTCCGTTAGCATTCAGCTCTGCTCCCTGAAGCCAGATGCTCAGGAAGTTTTTAGGTCTCTAGAAAATCACTTAAATGTTTGTGGAGAACATTTACATTGTGCATCCTCATAGAGTAGAAGACCTTGGGAAATGTTTAGGTTTAAGAAACCATCTGAAAGCTTTAAAAAACACTGACGGTTTTTTTTTGTCGGAATTTAATGTTTTTGGATAGTAGAAGATTTCAATCAGCAGCACATATCTTATATTCCCCATAACAAGCCATAAAATAGCCTTGTATTTGTTATTCATTTATTTTTAAATATAACCTACCTTTTATATTACCAAGTGTGAAGCCACACAGCATGTGCTTACATTACGTCTCCGACTAATTATGAACAATTGGAGTTCAACTATCCCATTCACATTCCATTTTATTTATTCTTAATATAGCATTTATTTATAAAAGATAACAAAATTATAAATACAAACTTGAATATATATTTATATACACATGTAACAATGTTTTGTATTCATAAAAAGTTCTAAAATTATTAAAAAAATACCGTGAAACATGTTTTAGTATGCTAAAATCATTCACAATACAGTTGAGACTAGTTCACATTATTTCCTTTTAGTGAATAGTGCAATTGAACCAAAACGTTTGGCAGAGACAAAACTTAACAAAAGTAAACAAACATTTACAGACGAAAAAGAATAAACATAAATTATTAATAAAAAAGCGAATATGTCATCGGAATATGATAAAGTAAAAGTTGGAAAATTGGTACTAAAAGGAGAGAAACACAAGTAAATATTTAATACAGCAAAGCCCTCAAAAAACCGAATTAATATACCCGTCATCCTTTCTTTCTTTAGGAAAAGTAAAAAACGCAAGAAGGAAAAGGAACACAAAGATGACAAGCACAGTAAACGTAGTAAGGTACAAGTGGATGAAGATGCCCTCAAGCATGGCGGTTGGTGGCAGGCAAAGTTGACATCAGAAATTACCGGTCCCGTGGCCATACAATTCGGGGAGCATTCCTATGTTAAGGCATTGGATAATGGCTTGTTTACATTGGGAGCACCCCATCGTAATGGCGAAGGACCTGATCCGGAGGAAATTTTTACAGCATTTCCCATTAACGATCGAAAAGTGTCTTTTAAATCCGGATATGGTAAATATTTAAAAATCGAAAAAGATGGTATGGTTACAGGACGGTCAGAAGCTGTTGGCAGTCTGGAACAATGGGAACCGATATTTGAAGATGGAAAAATGGCTTTGCTATCCGATTTGGGATTTTTTATGTCAATCGATCCGGAAGATGATGCCTGTGTGGCGTTACGTAAAAAAGTGACCAATTTGGAAATATGCACGGTTCGTTGCAATAATCCAAGAGAAACGGTGGTCGATGAGGAACCGCAAGAGGAAAAGGGTGATTTGTATGAGGTGGAAAAGAATTATGTGTAAGTAAAATGCTAATTTTATTATATGAAAAAATATGAATTCTTTTTTTATTTCTTATTTAGGAAAAAGTTCCAAAAATTCCAGGACAAAAAATTGCGCATCAACAAGAATGATATCAAGGAATTGGAAACGGCCAAAGAAAAGGGTACATTACATGAAGCTCTGTTGGATAGACGTAGCAAAATGAAAGCTGATCGTTATTGCAAATAGACTAGATTTTAATTTTTTGTAAAAAATCGATGTTTTTCTCTAGGTTTGGAAGGACCTAGAATATAAAATTAAAAAAAAAAACAATCGCCTACATCATGTTTGTTGGTACTATAAAATATTCCGGACGAAACCTAACACATGTCCAGCATGCCTACTCACCTAGTTGTAAATTCCTTCTGGATGAAGCCCATGCAGGTTGAAATCTTCCCAAATATGAATACATAGGAGCCAGTAGCAGACAATGAATTCCCTTTGATGATACAACACAAGCAAATACCCACTTATAAGCTCTTGGAACTAGTTTGGTGGACCGATTTTCGACGGAACACATGTGTAGCATGTGAACCTCATACGTTGCTGTTTGGCAAATTTGTACCCTCTGAGGATCTATTCCAAAATATGGACCGATATGGGAAGCCACATAATGGATGGTAAAATGTTTGCCAATATCCTTAAAAGAGGAAAAATGAGGTGAAACCCTTATATGTAGGCGCTATTTTAAAAATATGATTCTATTCGGAACATTTTCCGTGAGGGATTCTACCCTCTGGATATCCAAAATTTCGAATTAAAGCTATTTTGGTTAAAAAAGGTAAGGTTCTTCAAAATATCCAAACCAAAATGTAGACCGAAATATCCCGTTTGCAATATCAGAACCAGAAAGCGGATCAGTATAATCGGATGTAGTCGGGGCCCTAAACAACCACAACTGAGCTCTTAATGACAAATATTTTCGATATTTTCACCCTATTGACCAAAGTGGGATCTTTATATAGGGACTCCTATTTGAAAAATATGGTTATATTCTGAATATGTTCCGTGTGGGACTTCTACACTCTGAATATATCCGATATTCCAAATAAATACCTATTTTGATTGTAAAGTTTGGTTTCAAAATATAGACCGACATATCTCGTTTGCAATATTAAACACAGAAAGCGGATCAATATAATCGGATGGAGTCAGAGCCCTACACAACTACAACTAAGCTCTTAATTTTCAGCGGTTCTATATTTCGATCCTGGCAAATATTTTGCGATATTTTTCACCCTCTTGACCGATTTGAGATTAAAAGCAGTCCCTCTCTTATCCTAATGTATTCGGATTTTGTTATTTTATACAAGAAAAAGTATTGGGTTCATTTGATCCACTCAATATTGACCGACAATATTTCAATTCAATTGTCCAAATCCCCTTCTCGGTGTAAAATTTCTGATGTTCGCCTTATAATTGTGACCTCTATAGCAACTAGAAAATTTCATCCCAATCGCAAGTTCTCTAGAGACCTTGTGAGGATAGTTGTTTTCGTACTTCCTCACGATCTTTATGTGCTTCTTTACCCAGCTGAGTTTCTTATCTACATAACGCTGGTAATAACAAATTGTGCTTCGATACGCCTTTCTATCTATCCATCGCTTCTTTTGATCTGGTACTTTTGGGTGCAGGAGCCCCCAGCAAGGATTCTAAAGTTGCTTTGGAGCAGTTACATTTAACTTCTATCCCTTCAGTAGCTGATTGCATCAGGAGTTATGGCCTATCGACCGAAGCCGAGTATATTTTTGACAGACTCCACTTCGGATGAGCCTAAAGCCTGACATATTTGACGTTCACTGTCGATTTGAGGATAGAGTACTGATGACGATGACATCTGCATCATCCTCTTAATCTATTGGGGTATCATGTGTCAGCTTGTATGCTTTCCTGGCTTAGGCAGAAGCTGCCGTACTACCCAATAAACAGTATTGAGCTTTACACTATCCACAACAAATGGACGCGTCCGATAGCAGGTATAAGCTTAAGTAACACTGTTTTTTAATGATATCCGCGATCGGCGGTCTATTTTCATTTCTTTCAGTAAATATTAACGCTAAATTTTCCAAATTTTCAATTAAGTTTGAGTCCATTTGGCCCGCTAAATTATGATTGATTGCCATGAAAGTGTTGCTTATCCCATGGACAAATCCCCTACTCCGTGTAAAATTCCGCGATTCGGTTGATAATTGTGGCCTCTAGAGCGACCGGAAAACGTGACAAAAAACAAATTTGGCTCTCTTGGTCCATCAAATTTTAACGGATAATTAAAAAAATAAAATGTCTCAGGTCGAACCGAACATGCAAATTTTCGTGGTCCATAACTGTGGCCTTGTACTGCGTTTACAAATTATAATGGTAGATATGCCTATGTCGAGATATGACTAAAAGGTGGGTCAAGAACCAATATTATGACGTTTTGGATTCGGCGATTCTGATCAAAGATGACACCCACATGAAGTTATCGGTTTTCGACCCGAATATCACGATTTTAAAAAAGGGGTGACGAATAAACATGACTATTTTGGTTAAACATTTAGCGGGTCAAATGAACCTATAGACTTTTGGGTGATTTCCCATATCAGTGCTGCTCATGCATGGGAATTCAAGTGCCCCTGGCTATAAATCGTCCTCTGCGTTCTCTTTTTTAAGTCATTTAATACAATTGTTTTTTTTAGAATTTCGAAGACCCCTGACATAATTGTTGGCCCTCAGCTCATCTGCTGATATCTTTATATAAAAAGATTTATTAAAATTTTAGATTTTTCATTTTATTTTCCTCTTACCTGTGATGTTTTATACTTAACCATCAATCCGGCGACAAGGGATCACAACAAAAATGCCCTTGGCCCCTATATTAAAATGAAATTGTTTACAACAAAAACGAATTTCCCATAAAAAATCCATACATAATTGGCTGCATCATCAGCTAATTAGCATTTTTATCGGTCGGTTGGGCTGTCGATTATATTCAGTAGGTAGATTGGGTGAACAGCAGCAGGAAGTCGAAAAAATGTATACCTCAAAAGAATATAACTAATTGGTCGGTCACACACAAAGCAACATTGTACAGTAGTCTTATGTATAAATAGGCATTGGATATTGCATATTTTTTTATAAAATTTCCTCATTTGTTTTAAATTTAACAGATCAAAAAATTTTTGTTTGCTATCGTCTAAAATTTATAAAATATGCACAAATCCGATGTCAATTTATACCCCGGCCAACTTAAATGACATTTACTGACCTTTTGAGGCTACTTTTTTATATTATTTCTGTTTTAAATTAATATTTTAAATGATAATCCTTTTAATTAGATCTTTAATATAAAGACAACAAGATATGGACGGCGTCTGTCATTTATGTTGGCTCCTTTGCACTGTCTTTTAAATGGGAGATGCATGACATCAGCTGTCTTTCTCATACATGACGAACAGCCACTGTGTGTGTGACCATCCAAAAAGGAAGACTAAGAGCACTAAATTAACGGAAGGATGACAGGTGAGCGCTAAAAGGGAGAGCAAACCATTTGTCATGTAGCATTGTCTGCTGTTTCTTCTTTAGGTGTAGTGAGCATGACGGGTGAGTGCTTCGAGGAAAAGAAAACATTTATTATGCAGCATATTTTTACTGCTGATTCTTCTATTGATGGAGTGAGCATGATAGTGTGTCCGTAGAATTAAATAAATGCAAATAAAATGTCGTCGGTGTGTGTGTATAAAACTAAAAAAAAATAATTAAAAAATGTTTACTCGAGGATCATCAGACAAACAACATCATGTCGTAAAATGGCGCGTAAAAGGAGAAATATGCGAGAGGGCAGACAAAATGACATTTTTTTCTCAGCTCTTCTCTCTCATATGACTTTCCTTTGAAACTGACAAACTGTGTGCGTATGACTAGTGAGTTTTGGAGGAAAAGGCGCCATTTTTGGAGCCAAATTAGTTTTGTTCATTATTTTTGTTTGCAGTCAGGCGGAGTTTGCACTGAAAAACAAGAAATTCCGAAGCTTGCTTGGACAGGAGAGTTCATTGTATATATGGATTAGTTGTTGTTGACGGATAAGTGCCTGTTGGGTTTTGATGCTGCTTGTACTATAAAAACAGGCATTAAAAAACTAAAGGAATTAAAGCGTAGATGCAGTAGAGTTGGGTGATACAAGACTTGGTGGCGCATTGGACGAAGATTTGCGTTTTGTTTTCCCAATGAAGAATGTTTGTATGTGAAAAGAAAAACAAAACGAAATGTGTTCGTAGCGAAGGACAGGCGGACGACGTACGTGACAAAACGTAGTCGAAGAAGAAAATAGTACAACAAAACGTGGCCGGCTGCGGGGCTTTTGCTGGGTAGGTAGTAATTTTGGTGGTGTGAAATATTTTTTTTGATCCGATTTTCAGATGCGATGATACGAGGTTCAATGCGTAAAAACGGAAAAGTATAAACAAATAATATGGTTGCTCGTCGTTACGTAGGAAAATAAGAGGGTGGTGGTTGAGATAAGATTTCGAGATTTAGTATTGTTGTTGTTGTTTTGGTGGTGGTGGTTGTGAAGGGAAAGTTGTAGTATTAAAGAGATGATGAAATGTGTTATTAAAACAAAAAGGATGGTTGCATTGCGAGCGAGGGTTGCAGCAATAGTAGTCGTCGACTGTAATCAGGATAATGCAGAACGAAGGAAAAATAAAAAATTCAAAAATCACCATTCCTCCTTATCCTTGCCATGGAGGATGATGTAGTATGTAAAGGAGGAGGAGAGGGTTCGGGGATCAAAATTTTAACACATTTTGCTTAACGTTGAAATTTTTTCAATGACGTCGTTGTGGCTGTATTCGAGTAGGATGTACAAAAACTTGATTGTAAAGAGGCGCAGTACGAAGAAAAACTAAAAATTTAAGAACCACCCCCATCCCCCTGTTATGGAGATGTTTGTGTAGAACAGGGAAGGGGTGGATTGTAGAACAAATGTTTGCCTTAACGTCGAAATTTTGTTACGTAGAATAGCGTATTTTTGGTGGTGTGGAGAGTAGGTCTAAGAGATGTGTGTAGTTATATTTTTTTAATGGAGTAATACGTACGATAGCTAATACAAACGAAAATTAAGTGTGGTGCTGGAGGATGGTTAGCTATTTATATATACATACATATACAAAAATAAAGAAATATTAAGCGTAGGCACTAAGTCGTCGTCGAAGTCGTTGTCAAGTGGTAGAGGGAGAATTGTTTGGTTGATTGATTTTGCTTGATTGGTTATGTTGTTTTTTGGGTTAACGTAGATTGTTGTGTGAAATTTTTAAGGTCGTGGTCAAAATTATAGAGATGTGGCGTCGTTTTCGTCGTCGTCGTTGTTCGTAGAAAATAATAAGTTTTTTTTTTTTTTTTGGAACGCAAAAGAAAAATTTGAAACAAAAAGAAAAATACATGTGGCAATAAATACTTTTTCCTTTCCGATTTCCAATAATTTCGGATGATGAATGGCTGGTCTTCTTTTCTCAGCTTCAGTATACTTCTTCGTCAGATGATTTTGTTCTGGGGGGCGTTGCTGTAAATTCGAAGTGTTTTCAAAAACATTGCGTAAATAAAACGACGTATGGGATTTATTTTTTGGATATTTTTTCTTGTTTTTTCTTCATTTTTTCTTTTTCTTCGATTTTTTGTTTGTTTGGAATACTGTGTAATATGCTATACAGAGAAATTTGTTTTTGTGGTACGAGAAGTAGTTTAGGTAGTAGTAGAGATATACATGATTCATCTTGACATGCGGTATATGGTTATAATTGTTTTGTTTGTTCTTGTCTTGTTTTTTGTTATAATTAATACGTTCTTCTTCTTTTACTTTCTTCTCTCCTTCATATTTTTCATTTTTGTATTCGTTTTTTTTTCTTTAACTATGACGTACAAACTTAGCGTAGTTATGATTTTTTTTTGCATTAAATTACGTAGTATATAGTTTAAGAGGGGGTGGAAGGGAGGAGGGGTAGGGTAATTTTTTTTAGCAGAGAAGAGAAAAAACAAAATTTTGTTTCTTTTTCTTTTAAATTAAATAGGGGTTGAGTGGGGTCCGAGAGGGTAGGAAAACTTAAAATTAGCGTTGTGTTTACAAATCAATTCAAATCAGCTCTCTCTTGAATCGTCGTCGTTCTCTCTTTTTGATTCTTTTTCACACTCTCTTTTTCAATGCAGGTACGCAGTATATATTTTTGTGTATACATATATGCATGCTTTGGTTGGTTTTTTGAAATGGCGACCATTTTGATTTCATGGTTTCTTTTTGTCGTTGTTTCTTGATCACACTTGCATACACATACATGTTTTGTTTTGCGTTTTGAAAAGTAGTGGGGGAAAAATGAATATTTTTTCAGAAAATTACTCATCGTCGTCGTTTTTTGGGGGGTGGATAGAGACACATCCCAGAAAAATTGAAATGTGCCCGACGAAGATGACGAATTGCCGATTTTTTTTCACACAAGAGTTAATTCGAGTTGTTTTGTAGTTTGGGGGTAGTAGGTAGATAGACAGACAGGGGGAAATAATTAAAATTATGACTTATATCACTAGGAGACGATTTCTTCTTTTACAAAAAAAAAAAATTGTATGTAGTAGATACGTAGATAGAGAATTTTCGATATACACATGTTTTACAAAAGAAAACATTTTTCTTTTTTATGAGGGTGGGGCCAAATCTCATTTTTTTTTTTTCATGCTATAAAACAACAATATTTTTTTCTTTTAGACGAGCGCAGCTCTGGCTTGATTTTGCTTAAAACGTAGATAGTAATTTTTTCTTGGCTAAGTTTAATTACATTCGTGTTTGTTCTTGATTTTTTGCGTTTCTTGATGTTAAAATAAGAATAGAAAACAAACGTAGATTTTAGCTTACTTGTCTCAATTTTTCTTGCGGTGCTGTACTGTACTTGCAGATTTGTTTTTAGCGTCGTCGATGTTGGGCATGGATTTAAGCTGAGTTTTTTTGCGTGGTTACTACGATGTGCCACAAAAATTTGTCGGCGTTGTAGTTGTTGTTGATGATGATAATGATGATTGATCTTACGTAAATACTAGCTAGCTTTCTCTCCTTAGAAGCGACCCATTGGAGAACGTGATCTAAAACGACCACCACCGCCGCCACCACTTTGACCACCAAACGAACGTCCACCACCACTTTGACTGCCACCATCGCGGCCATATGAATCACGACGACTGAAGCCACCACCGCCGCCATCACGGCCATAACCACCGCCGGAGCGACCACCTCCCGATCCTCCATAGCTATCGCGTCCATAGCCTCCACCGGAACGGCCACCTCCGGAGCCACCACCATAACCGCGATCCTGATAACGTCCACCGCTGGATGAATTACGTGGCCGGAAGCCACCACCACTGCTGCCACTACGACGACCACCGCCGAAGCCACCATCACGTCGTCCGCCATCGCGACCACCACCACGGCCGCCTGGGCGACGCCCACCTTGTCGTGGACGACCTTTGCTGATTTCCACACGTAGCTGGGAGCCCAAGAGCTCGGTGCCGTTCAGCACATCGCAGGCCTTTTGGGCATCATCACGATGCTCGAATTCAACAAAAGCAAAACCTGGTGGATTGAAGGCAATCCATACGGAATTTAATTTACCATATTTTGTGAACTCTCCCTCCAAATCGTCTTTCTTGATTTTGTCGGTCAAATTGCCAACATAGACGCGTGTTCCTCTTTGATCACCCATAATTGCTCTTAGTCTTTTTTACTTTAAAAACTTTTTATTTTCTTCACAAAATTGAAGAAAAACTCTTAGATAATTTTTTACAAAACTGATTTCAACTTTACTTATTTTCTTGTTTCTTCTTCCGTGTATACGTGTTCACCCAACCGATACTGAAAAATGTATGTATTCGCTGGTTTTTGCTACATCATGACATCAGTTCGCCATGGCTTGGCTTGCAGACATTTTAATTTGCATGCCTGTTCGTGTTGTCTCTTTTACTCTTATAGACATTAAATGTACTACCAATTTGTGTTGTATTGTTTACGTACTCAGACGGATGGGAAGAAGAGGAATATATCAAAACAACCCTCAGACGCAGGGGTGTATTTTCACATGATGTGTTGCATTGGGGGAAAATGTCAATTGTAGATGGCGCATAGAGGGATTCTTTAAGAGTGAAGTATGGCAAAATGGCAAAACATATAGAGTATGTAAAATAATGGCTTATGAACGGTTTTAAAAGTCTAATTAAAGGAAAAGAGGTGTATTTAAAAGAAAAAAATATGTAAAATAACGATTTTAAATATTTTTAAATGTCTATTGATTATTATTATTAGTAAACCTTTATTTTGTAATGAAAAGCCTGAGGGGCCAATAAATTATTACAATATGCTTCGAATATTAAATTTGTAAATTAACATTTAAATTATTAGAACTTAAAAGTAAATGATATCTAATTAGGAAAAAAAATGTGGATTTAAAAGAAAAAATATGGCGCATTTACACCGTACGTGTTTTATGATAAATAATCGTCATTTAAGTCATTTCTTTTGTATATAGGTGAAATAAATGATGTTTTTTCGTAAAACATTTAATAAAAAATATTTATGCTTTATTGAGGTGTTTTATTGATCACAACTGCGTTTATATATCACAACTAGTTTATGAACACAACTCTGTTTAACATTGTCGACTTTAATAATTTAAAAAGATAACCATATTTTTGGTTAGGGTTCTTTTGGATTTGGTTGAAAATTTTGCAGGCTTTGAGGGTATATGAAAGGGGCTCATGCCAAAATTTTCAATCTAAAATATTTTTGCAGGTTCTGAAATAGAGCTATTATTATTATTATTTTAGAGTCGCATTTTCTTAAGTGGTTTAAGCACTATCATTCTTGAATGACAGAATTTTTTAATCGATCGCATTCAAAAGTTATAATGTATACACCGTTTTAAATTCGTCAACAAAATCTGCATTTGTTATTGGATAGTTTTTTAGATATACAGTAAAATATATAGATATACAGTAAAAAAATCACTGATTTTGCAAATTTTCGTAATGAAATTAAAAATTATTTTGTCGAATCTCATATAAAAATTTACAAAAATATGTCACCTTAGAGCAGCAAGACATATTTTTTTCTTGTTCCGTAACTTTTTATCTCTCGTATGCAACATTTTTTGATGTGTGGTGAATTTTTGTAAATACTCACCACACTTAAAAATTCATTGATTCTGCAAATTTTCATTGCTAGCAGTACAATGCAGTTAAAAATGATTAAGTACAATCAATATTGCGATCATTTGAAAGATTTTTCGTGACTACAGATCACATTAGAGTTTCAATTCAATTCAATTGTGGTGAATTTTTAAAATACTCACTACACCTAAAAAAACATTGATTTCGCAAATTTTCTTTGCTAGCAGTACTATGAAATTAAAATTTATTTTGCAGAAACAATATTGCGATCATTTTCGAGAATTTCCATGGGTATATGTAACCTTAGAGTTCTAAGACATATTTTTTCTTGTTCTACTACTTTTTATATCTCGTTTGCATGTATTTTTGAGGTGTGGTGAATTTCTGAACATACTCACCACACCTAAAAAATCATTGATTTTGCAAATTTTCTTTGCTAGCAGTGCAATGAAATTAAAACTTATTTTGTCGAATCAATATTGAGATCGTTTGAGAGATTTTCCGTGGGTATAGGTCACCTCAGAGTTCCAAGACATATTTTTCCATGTTCTATAAAAGTTTATCTTTGGTTTTCAACATTTTTTAAGGTATGGTGAATTTCTGCAAATATTCACCACACCCAAAAAAAAATTGATTTTGCAAATTTTCATTACTAGCAGCGCAGTGAAATTTAAAATTATTTTGTAGAATCAATATTAAGATAATTTGAGAGAATGTCCATGGGTATAATTCACTTTAGAGTTCTAAGACATATTATTTCGTGTTCCATAACTTTTTATCTCTCGTTTGCAACATTTTTTGAGGTGTGGTGAATTTCTGCAAATACTCACCACACCCCAAAAAACATTGGTTTTGCAAATTTTCTTTGCTAGCAGTAGTATGAAATTAAAATTTATTTTGTAGAAACAATATTGCGATCATTTTCGATAATTTCCATGGGTATATGTCACCTTAGAGTTCTAAGACATATTTTTTCTTGTTCTACTACTTTTTATATCTCGTTTGCATGTATTTTTGAGGTGTGGTGAATTTCTGAAAATACTCACCACACTTAAAAAACATGAATTTTGTAAATTTTTATTGCTAGCAATGCAATGGAATTAAAAATTGTTTTATTCAGTCGATATTGAAATCATTTAAGAGATTTTCCGAAGGTATGGGTCAGCTTTGAGTTCCAAGATATAGTTTTTCTTGTTCTATAACTTTTAATCTCTCGTTTACATAAAACTACTCACCACACCTAAAAAAATATTGATTTTGCAAATTTTCCAAAAAAATGCGTGTTTTTGATAAAAATTTTCAACATAAAAATATTAGTAATTAGATCCTCTACAACAGAAACATCGACTAATAATTTTTTTTTCGATTTTTTTTTAAATCTGTTCTTAAAAAAATCAATATTTTTTTAAAAATACATGATTTGATTTTTTTTAATCTGCACCTTGAAGCAATATTTTTCCAAAAATCCAAACCTTCAGAAAAGATATTTTTTTAAAAAAATTCTGCACCTTGAAAAAATATTTTTTTTAATCCTTGCATGAGAAATATTTTTTAAAAATCTAAGCCTTAATTTTTTTAACCCACGCATTGAGAAATAGTTTTTAAAACCTCGCATCTAGAAACATTTTGTTTTAAATCCACGCCTTTAGACAATATTATTTTTAATCCCAGCCTTAAGAAAAAATATTTTTTTTAAATCTTACGCCTTGATTTTTTTTAAATTTATTTTAAATCAAATTTTAAATTCAAGCCTTGAGAATTTTTATTTTTTAATCCAGGCCTTGAGAAAATATATATATATATATATTTTTTTTTTTAAAACCAGGCCTTGAAGAAATATTTTTTTATAAATCCAGGACTTAAAAAAATATTTTTTAAAAAATCCGGCCCTTGAAAAATTATTTTTTTTTTAAAAGCTACGCTTGTGAATTTTTTTAAAATCCACGTCTTGTTAAAATATTTTTTTAAATCCACGCCTTGTTAAAATATTTTTTAAAAATCCACGCCTTGTGAAAATAATGTTATAAAAATCAAAGCCCTGCAGAATATAACGGCCAACAAAGCGGATCTGGTCTGTAGATCCTTAACAAGCTCATTAGAAATATTAACAAACAGTTTTTGATAGACATAACAGTCGTACTACATTTAGTACACGCGGCACATTTGGGTTAATCTTCCGCTGTGTAAAGTCGTTTCAGGCAAACCCCCGCACGTTTGCTCTCTCGCGAGTGTAAATACCACCATACTCTTACACACAGTCAATTGAAGCAACTGAGAGCCCATTGTGTGTCATATCGACAAATGTGTGAGAACCAAATTGTTTCCTCACTGCCTGTCCCTGCTGTAGAATGTTTGGCCACACAAGGTGGTTGGCAACACTACGCCAATATTCTACACTGAACAAAATTAAAGACCACCATCATTTTTTCAAACATTCCTCCAAATAAAGGCATTCCCTTTGATACATCATGATTCCAAATTGTCATTCTAGGCAATTATCTGTAATTGTATATGTTCCACGAAAATGGGATATAAAATGACCAATGAATCATACAGACATACAGGCGCACGTTCACACAGAACAGAACCCCATTATAAACAATCAATGTCGATTACCATTCAATAATTAAAACGGAGAAAAAAGAAATATGCAAAAAACAACAAAGGTAAACAGCAACGACAAAAACCCACCACCTTTCATTCATTCATGCACCAGGGCACATGTAACTCTATTGCAATACCAGTTAACTACTGCCACCAACCAAACGTTTATTATATGAGAAGGTAGTAGGCAAGGCATAAATCACCCATACCACCAATAATCATGACAACATTGCAAAGCACCCCACCGTGTGCAGCACATGAACAGACAGGAAGAAAAAGCAAAAACAAAAAACAACCACCTAAATCAGCATCAAGCAAACCTCTGCACGCCTGCTTTCTTTGAGAGTAATTTGTGTGTAAAGAGGCACACACGAACGTCTCTCTGCCCGAGCCTGTTCTAAATGTCAAACAGAATTTTGTTTTTGAACAGTGAGAGAGAGACTCTGAGTATCTCATTTGTCTGCCGTACTCCAATAAGAGTTGCCAGGAGTGTGAGGAAATGCGATAGAAATTTCTTTTGTTATTTTATCGCAAAATAATGACAGATTTTTGTTAAAAAATTTTGAAGAAGTAATTATAAATATTTTAAATTGTTTTATTTACAAAAAAATGCCCAATTTTTGCTAAATTGCCATTGAAGTATTTAATTTGTTGGTCCTTTCACTCTCACTCTCTCTCCGGCTTTTTGTTTATGTGCGCTACTTCAACACATGTTGGACTTGGCTGCTTCTTCTTCTTCTTGTTTTTTGTTTTGCTATAATTTAAGTATTTCCGAGAGAGTTAATAACAATGTCGCTCACCACTTGACGGCATGTTCACATGTGGTGTTGCCATATTTCATTTGAAGGAAATAAAAGGAGATTTTGGGAATTTTAAAATATATTTTTTCGCTACTCATTTTGGCATCCTCTTCTCCAATCCTTGGCTTCCCACTCTTCAAGAAGACTGCGTTGGACAAATAGTGCGCCCTGT